AGCTGGTGCTGGAGTCACCTCCATCGCCCCACATCACCCCACAAAGTCCTCTCTTGGTCTGAGTGGTCAGCTTTTCTCCATGAGACCACGGAGGCAGCACCTTTCCCTGCAGGGAAATGCCCTTCCCTGGGGTTCCCCATGGCTTGGGTGCTGGGAGCAAGGATGGACACCCACCACCCTCCAGCAATATCATTCAAACCCCTCATTTTTAGAACTGCTTTTTCTCCTAAAAAGCAGGACCGAGCCTTGGAGCTGGTTCAACACCTGATGTTGACAAGTAGATGTTCCCTGATGTTGACAAGTAGATCCCAGTTGTCCTGGTTGATGTGGGGATGGTGTGGAGCTGGGGACCACAGCTCTCCATCCCCATCTTCTCCTTCCCATCGCATCCCAAAGCAGCTTTTCTCCATGAGACCACGGAGGCAGCACCTTTCCCTGCAGGGAAATGCCCTTTCCTGGGGTTCCCCATGGCTTGGGTGCTGGGAGCAAGGATGGACACCCACCACCCTGGGCTGGAGCAGCAAAACCAGGGTTATCTGGGTGGTTTTTTTTTCCTTTTCCTTCCTGGCTTCACCTCTTCCCTGGAAACCTTTCCCTGCCACGGAGAAAATTCCACAGCTAACATTTTAAGCTGGTTTAATGCCAACAGCTGTTTTATGGGACACGTTTACACCCTCTGGGTTGATGAGTTGCCAGAGGAAGAGATGGGTGCGAAGGGGTGAAAAATCTCACTCTTCTGAAATTACTCATCATTTTCCCTCCCCTCTGGACTTGCCCCTGAGTGTTGTGCCAGGAGGGAGGTGGCACAAGCCTTTCTCCGGGTTGTCCTGGGACGATTGATCCGGGCAAGAGACCTTGAGGAAATTCCAGCAATATCATTCCTTGGTTGGGAAACCACCGGGGCTGCCCCCTGCTCCGAGGACACGGCCGTTACCTGCCTGAGTGATGTTGCTGGAAGTGTTTTCTCCACCTCTTATCTCTCCGTACCAGTTCCCCCAGTGCTGCTGGGGGTTACGATGCCCTCCCAGTTCCTCCCTCTGCACCCAACGCCCTGAACCAGTTGCAAAATCAAACCCTCAAACTCCGTCCAGCCTTCCCTTTTCCTTCCACTCGGGCAAATTCCGTGCCGTTTGCGTCAGGGTTGCACGGCATCTGCTGGGAAGAAGTCTGCTCTGGGAAGCAGATGCCAGGCTGTAACCTATCCAGGATGGAAGAGCTGGCTAAAAAACCCACAAAAAACACTTGGGAATCCTGCCTGGGCATGATGATGGACTTGAGCTGGTGCTGGAGTCACCTCCATCGCCCCACATCACCCCACAAAGTCCTCTCTTGGTCTGAGTGGTGGGTTTCGTGTCCCTTTTTCCCTTCCTGAGCCAAATATCATCATTTTTGGCCCATCAGCTGGGTTTCTCCAGGCACCTTGGCTCCATTTTACGGCCATCCTAGTGCTGCAGACACCCCAGACGAGGCAGATTCCTCCTTTCTGGAATGGATCATCGCGACTAAATATTTTAATTCTTCTCCCCCTCGAAGGCTGTTTCCCCACATCAAAGCTTTGGGATGGTTGTGGGGTGGAAAACCCCTCCTGGAGGCCACCGTGGCCTGTCTCTTTCCATCGTCTTGCTTTCTTCAGGATTTTTTTCTGGAGGTCTCCCGGGTCGGTTGGGGGATGCTTGGTTAATCCCACTCCCTGCCGTGACGTCTCATCCTCGTTAAGTGGCAAAATTAAATCCTGCAGCGACACGATCAGAGGGAAGAGGCCGCGCCGGGGGGGGCTCTTTGTCAGGGTCGTCTTGCGTGGCATCGTGCCGGGGAAGGAGGGGGGGGGACATCAGGCTGGATTTACTGGTGCTTTTCCTAATTACTTTTAGTGTTGATTTTGGAAGGATGTGCCTTGTTTTTTAACCTGCAGGATCCTCTGCTCCTGGGAAAGAGCCTGGAAGCACCAGGGATCCAGGTTTCTGCTGGGACCACCCCAGCTTTCTTCCTGCTGAGCTTTTTTGGGGCAGAAATCCCTTGGGAATGGTTGGGGTTGGAGCAGGGGCTTTGCCTGCGCGGGGCTTTTCTGGAGGACACACAGTATTTGTGTTGTAGAAGGAGCCTGACGTTCTTGGAGGAGCTTCATGGAGCCAGGGATGGGCTAAATGGGATGTTTTAAACCTCACTGGGTGCTTTTTTTTTTTGGAATTTTCAGGTTTTAGGCCTAAAATCTTGACCTTGAAGAAATTCCAGCAATATCAATCAAACCCCTCATTTTTAGAACTGCTTTTTCTCCTAAAAAGCAGGACCGAGCCTTGGAGCTGGTTCAACACCTGCAGCCATTTTCCCTGATGTTGACAAGGAGATCCCAGTTGTCCTGGTTGATGTGGGGATGGTGTGGAGCTGGGGACCACAGCTCTCCATCCCCATCTTCTCCTTCCCATCGCATCCCAAAGCAGCTTTTCTCCATGAGACCACGGAGGCAGCACCTTTCCCTGCAGGGAAATGCCCTTTCCTGGGGTTCCCCATGGCTTGGGTGCTGGGAGCAAGGATGGACACCCACCACCCTGGGCTGGAGCAGCAAAACCAGGGTTATCTGGGTGGTTTTTTTTTCCTTTTCCTTCCTGGCTTCACCTCTTCCCTGGAAACCTTTCCCTGCCACGGAGAAAATTCCACAGCTAACATTTTAAGCTGGTTTAATGCCAACAGCTGTTTTATGGGACACGTTTACACCCTCTGGGTTGATGAGTTGCCAGAGGAAGAGATGGGTGCGAAGGGGTGAAAATCTTGCTCTTCTGAAATTACTCATAATTTTTCCCCTCCCCTGTGGACTTGCCCCTGAGCGATGTGCCAGGAGGGAAGTGGCACAAACCTTTCTCCAGGCTGTCCAGGGAAGACTGATCTGGGCAACAGACCTTGAAGAAATTCCAGCAATATCAATCAAACCCCTCATTTTTAGAACTGCTTTTTCTCCTAAAAAGCAGGACCGAGCCTTGGAGCTGGTTCAACACCTGCAGCCATTTTCCCTGATGTTGACAAGGAGATCCCAGTTGTCCTGGTTGATGTGGGGATGGTGTGGAGCTGGGGACCACAGCTCTCCATCCCCATCTTCTCCTTCCCATCGCATCCCAAAGCAGCTTTTCTCCATGAGACCACGGAGGCAGCACCTTTCCCTGCAGGGAAATGCCCTTTCCTGGGGTTCCCCATGGCTTGGGTGCTGGGAGCAAGGATGGACACCCACCACCCATGGGCTGGAGCAGCAAAACCTTGAGCAAATTCCAGCAATATCATTCAAACCCCTCATTTTTAGAACTGCTTTTTCTCCTAAAAAGCAGGACCGAGCCTTGGAGCTGGTTCAACACCCTCAGCTGGTGTCTCCCTGATGGTGACAAGTAGATCCTGGTTGATGTGGGGATGGTGTGGAGCTGGGGACCACAGCTCTCCATCCCCACCTTCCCATCACATCCTAAACCAGCTTTTCTCCATCAGACCACGGAGGCAGCACCTTTTGCTGCAGGAAATTGCCCTTCCCTGGGGTTGCCATGGCTTGGGTGCTGGGAGCAAGGATGGACACCCACCACCCATGGGCTGGAGCTGCAAAATCTGGGTTATCTGGGTGGTTTTTTTTCCTTCCTGGCTTCACCTCTTCCCTGGAAACCTTTCCCTGCCACGGAGAAAATTCCGCAGCGAACATTTTAAGCTGGTTTAATGCCAACAGCTGTTTTATGGGGCACGTTTACACCCTCTGGGTTGATGAGTTGCCAGAGGAAGAGTTGGGTGCGAAGGGGTGAAAATCTTGCTCTTCTGAAATTACTCATAATTTTTCCCCTCCCCTGTGGACTTGCCCCTGAGCGATGTGCCAGGAGGGAAGTGGCACAAACCTTTCTCCAGGCTGTCCAGGGAAGACTGATCTGGGCAACAGACCTTGAAGAAATTCCAGCAATATCAATCAAACCCCTCATTTTTAGAACTGCTTTTTCTCCTAAAAAGCAGGACCGAGCCTTGGAGCTGGTTCAACACCTGCAGCCATTTTCCCTGATGTTGACAAGGCCCCCCCCCCCCCCCGACTTTTAGTGTTGATTTTGGAAGGATGTGCCTTGTTTTTTAACCTGCAGGATCCTCTGCTCCTGGGAAAGAGCCTGGAAGCACCAGGGATCTGAGTTTCTGCTGGGACCACCCCAGCTTTCTTCGAGGACACACAGTATTTGTGTTGTAGAAGGAGCCTGACGTTCTTGGAGGAGCTTCATGGAGCCAGGGATGGGCTAAATGGGATGTTTTAAACCTCACTGGGTGCTTTTTTTTTTTGGAATTTTCAGGTTTTAGGCCTAAAATCTTCTTTAACCTTGTACTGGTATTAACCTTGTGCTGAGAGGGATGATCGGGCAGAGGAGAGGGGTCAATGTTTGGCGTCTGTGGCCAAAAGGAGGCTCAATGTTTGGCATCTGTGGCCAAAAGGAGGGTCCATTTTTGGCATCTGTGGCCAAAAGGGGGCTCAATAGGTTTAATGCCAACAGCTGTTTTATGGGACACGTTTACACCCTCTGGGTTGATGAGTTGCCAGAGGAAGAGATGGGTGCGAAGGGGTGAAAAATCTCACTCTTCTGAAATTACTCATCATTTTCCCTCCCCTCTGGACTTGCCCCTGAGTGTTGTGCCAGGAGGGAGGTGGCACAAGCCTTTCTCCGGGTTGTCCTGGGACGATTGATCCGGGCAAGAGACCTTGAGGAAATTCCAGCAATATCATTCCTTGGTTGGGAAACCACCGGGGCTGCCCCCTGCTCCGAGGACACGGCCGTTACCTGCCTGAGTGATGTTGCTGGAAGTGTTTTCTCCACCTCTTGGCTCAATTTTTGGCATGTGGCCCCAGATCCGTTCCTTGATGCTTTTGGTGCTGCTCGTTTCTGCGACTACAGCGGTCGAGGTGGACTGAAGGGAGCCTCGTGCCCGTAGAGCTTGGGAAGATGATGTGCCTTGGGGATCACTGGCTGATTTTTAGCATTTCTCTTTCTCTGCCCTTTCAGCAAATCCAGTTTGCAGATGACATGCAGGAGTTCTCCAAGTTCCCCACCAAGACGGGCCGTCGGTCCCTGTCCCGCTCCATCTCCCAGTCTTCCACCGACAGCTACAGCTCCGGTAGGTGCTGGGCTCCTTCTCCCTACGTGGTCCTCTCCCAAATCCTGCATCTCACACCACATCTCAGGATGCTCCACGTTGCTGTGTGCAATTATGGTTTTTTTAGATGTAGTTAATTATAGCAGGGAGAACTCTGATCACAAATCAGCTTTCCTGACTCCCCCCTCCTGCCTTTTAAAAATCGCAGGAGAATTACTATAGATTAACAAATTGGAAATTGCAAAAATGTAATGATCCAAAATTAAGATGAGTTGACAAGCACTGTTTCTGAATGGATTTGTGCCATAAAAATGAAGGAAAATAAAACTGAAATCCTTTAAAAAGTTTTAAATTAAATTGTAGTTATTTTGCTGTTTGGTTTTTGATTTGGTTTTGTTTTGTTGTTTGTTTTTTTTTTTTTAAATGTAAAATACCTTTCTTTAAACAGAGTTCTGTTCCCAAAAATATACACAGATGCCAAAACAGGAAAAAGTGGACAATTCGAGTAATATGAAATGGAGAGAAATCAAGGAGAATAAAGCCCTCCAAAGCTCCTGAAAGTCAGGCATTGATGACCAGTCGATAACCCAATCGTCTCTGGGTTGTTTTAGAGGACAAGAGTGGAAAATTCCTTCTGGACACGGGTTTTCCTTAGGAAATTTGTAGTTTGGGCCACGAATGTCTGTTTGTGTGAAAGCTGGGAAGCAAAACAAAGGTGAAACCTGCCCCAAGGGGTGGGAGGTCCCCAGATTCTTGAGACTTGAGGTATAACCTGTGTCCCTCTCCTGGTTTAGCTGCCTCCTACACCGACAGCTCCGATGACGAGGTGTCCCCCCGGGAGAAACAACAAACCAACTCCAAAGGCAGCAGCAATTTCTGTGTGAAGAACATCAAGCAGGCAGAGTTTGGGCGCCGGGAGATCGAGATCGCTGAGCAAGGTAAAAAAAAACAGAGCTGGGGGGGTTCTTGGGGCTTGTGGTGGCCAGGAGCTGTGCTCCCCAGAGCCCAGGAGCTGAGCTGTGGCAACTCCCACACCATCTTAACGCCCCTAAATCAGCAGATTGTTTGAGGAAGAGCTAGACAGAGGCGACAGCAGGCATTAGGGCTGGGTGGAATCCATTTCCTAAGCTCTTGCAGGGCTTCATGTTTGCGGTGGCTTTGGCTGAGGAACCTCAATGGGCAAAAGATCTTGCAACACCTTCGGGGACATGAAAACCGAGAGTCTCAGCCCCTTCCCCTGGGGCCTGTGGGAAGCTGAGTTACCCTTTCCAGTGGGGGGGAGATTGGGTAACTTTGCTTCTGGGCTCCTTTTAGACACAAGCTGCCAACGCCGTGGAAAGGGAAGATGATCCAGGCACATTTAGAGCAGCTCTTCTGTGGCAGCACCATTTTATTCTTCTTTAGGTGCTTCTCCTCGATGCTGTTCTGCTGCAGGGCTGGTGACTGTCCTTAGATGCCTTCATCTAGTGCCTGTCCCAGACCCTACTCGTTACGTGGCCAAATGACACTGGTGTTTAGACCTGGGAGTCTTCTCAGGAGGAGTTTTCTCCCCAGCTGTGGGGCTGGATGTAGCCTGGGAGACCCCAGGATCTGGCAAAGAAGGGACAAAGCCCTCATTAAAACCCCTTTCTCTTCCTTTTGCAGACATGTCTGCTCTCATCTCGCTCAGGAAACGGGCTCAAGGGGAGAAGCCGTTGGCTGGAGCTAAAATCGTGGGCTGTACCCACATCACAGCCCAGACTGCGGTGAGTGGCTGCTTTTTTGGGGCATCTTGGGGTAGGAAAGAAAGTTTCCCACCCGTGAGCAACTGGGGGAGGCACCTTCTCTTTGCTGGAAACATCTCGGAAAGGTTCTTCCGCCCGTATTTCCTCAGGGTGATGTTTCCTGGAGCTCGATCTCTGATGGGTTCCTTGCTGCCCTGTTCCACAACTGCCTTGAGGGCCCCATGCTGTGCCCATCACCGCAGCCCCGGGCCTCCTGCTCACCCCACTCTCTCACAGGTGCTGATTGAGACCCTCTGTGCCCTGGGAGCTCAGTGCCGCTGGTCTGCCTGTAACATCTACTCCACCCAGAACGAAGTGGCAGCTGCCTTGGCAGAAGCTGGTGAGCACAGCCCAGCCCTTCCAACCCCTCCTGACCCCTGCAGCCGCGTCCCACATGCCTGGTTTGAGGGATGGTTTGGCCCAAAAGATCTTTCAGGGAGGGATAAATAAGTCTGGATTTGTTCTGAGCTGTGATTTTGTAGAACCATAGAATGGTTTGGGTGGAAAGGGAGCTTAAAGCCCACCCAGTGCCACCCCCTGCCCTGGGCAGGGACACCTCCCACCACACCAGGTTGCTCCAAGCCCCCTCCAACCTGCCCTTGAACCCCTCCAGGGATGGGGCAGCCACAGCTTCTCAGGGCAACCTGGGCCAGGCTCTCACCACCCTC